TTTCAGCTACATCTTGAGACTCCGAAAGCCACTTGGCAAATCAACCTCGATAACACTGCAAAATCCTAAACACTCAAACCCTAATCCTAAAGTCTGTGCAAAAGGCAGTCCCAGTCACGACCATTAGGACTATCCCTGACAGGACTTCGCTCCCCAGCAGTTGGAAAAGCATCCGCTCCACCTGGAGGAGTTGCACTTCAACAGCTTCATAGGAAGTGAAGCTTTAGTGAGACGGCCTTGCAAACACTGCTAGCATCCGAGGGACTTGAAACCGGATTTCTTGCTACGAATTGCTCTTCTGAACCTGTTCCTTCGTTCCCAGCAATGGCTCTTCCAAAGCCCTTTCCTTTCAATTCCTACTGCTCGGAAGGCTGGGGGGGACATGGTAAGCATACTTAGAACCCCTTTGAACCATGTTGCCAGCTATAACCTACTTCCTAAGTCCCCCTGAGCCTCCTACTGGGCCCTACCAGCAAGAAGCAAGTTTCGGCAAAGTCCCACCAGGACGAAGAGCCCAAAACTAACCACCCCCGCAGCCACCAGGCCGGCAGCAAGCAGCAGCCTTGCTGGCGGTTCGCAAGGAATGGATCATTGGAGGTTATTGGAGGCATAGATCCCCATCCAAAACAAAGCTCTTAAAAGACGGTCCCAAAATCACATTCTGAACCCAACGCCTAAAACCATGGAGCTTTCTTTTCTTTTCGATTCCTTCGTTCTCTACTAAACTTTGGTAAGCGTCTGCGTGCACGTGCGGTTGCAGAGGTTGCGCGCCCTGTAGGCCAGCCTGCGGGCTGCTGTATTTGAAGGTTTGGGGGGGAGCTTTACACAGTCTAGTAGTTTTTGGGTTCAAGCTTATAGCGGTTTAGGGGTTTAAGGTCTATAGGGTTTGGTAGCGAGGGTGCAAGTTTAGGGGTAAAGCTTCAGAGTTTAGGGCAGCTCGCGGGAATGAACGTGCAACAGCTGCGACTTGTGGACTAAAACTAATAGGCACAGTAGCAGCAGTAGTAGTAGTAGTAGTAGTAGTAGCGGCACGAGCCAGTAAACCCTCCACCTTAGACACCAAACCCTAGACCCCTAGCCTGTAAACCCTAGCTCCCAATGCTTTGATCCCGAGGGCGAAAAGCTTCAGCCAGAACCAAAAACCCCAACTCCTCAATCTGCACCCCAACACTTTGACCTCAGGCCCTCTTTGACCAAATTATCATTATTCCGAAGCCGGCACATGCCAATAAATTCAGTTGCCACCATGATCAATATACACCGGGTATATGGTAGTTTCTCAAAATAAGGGGACCCCAATGTAGACCCTAAAATACTAGTCCTTATTATAGGGACCCCAAAATGCTACCCCTAATTCTGGGAAACCTTTATATTTCTCCATAAAAGCACCACTTGGGGTGGGGGGTGATACAGGTAAAACCCCCTGCATGCAGCCAGCCTGAGGACCAGCAAGCAAACCTGGTTTAGGGTTTAGGGGTTTGGGTTTTAGGGGTTCAGGGTTTAGGGGTTTAGGGTTTAGGGGTTTAGGGGTTTAAGGTTTGGGGGTTTAGGGTTTTGGATTAAGAACGGAGAGGAACTTGTCCTGCAGAGTAAGCTTCAGATTTAAGGATACCAAACTCAAAAGACAATGAAACATGAAATGGCAACTGGGGGTTCATAGATATGATAGAGGGGTTCTATCAAGTTACGAGGATCTGAGTATATATGGGTGGTTGTCAAAATTATGGTCCCTTTTTGGGTACCCTAAATATTTGGCGCAATATTACCATAGGGATGCAAAAAAGGACCATAATTTTGGCAACCACCCATATGTGTATGCCCACAGCGTGACTGAATTAACGTCCCTTACCACCCTATAAACCCCCCACGTAAGTTTGGTTTCCATTCAATGTCCGATTCCTTTTCCATCTGATTCATTATCATAGCAACTTAAAACCCTGCATCCTATAAAAGTCCCAGATAACTCCTAAAATCCCCTACAAGCAGGTTCTAAGTTTGAGTTCCTTAACAGCAACCCAGAAAGCCTAAACCTTAAATTCCCTATAAGGAAGTTTAGTTAGGAGGTCCTTAAGGGGGGTGGTCCAAGGGGGATAGGTAACCTAGTATTCCCCATTATTCCCTTATACTCCCAAAGCTTCTCTAAGGTTCCCCAAGGCTCCCTTGTACCCTCCCCCTCGAACTACCCCCCCCTTTAGGATCCTATAAGTTAAAGTTCCTTAACAGCAACCCAGAAAAACTGAACCCTAAACCCTTAATTTTGTATAAGGAGGTTCAAAGTTTTAAGTTTCTTAACAGCCACCCAGAAACCCTAAACCCTAAAACACTAAATTCCCGATAAGGAGGTTCAAAGTTTCAAGTTCCTTAACAGCCACCCAGAAACCCTAAACCCTAAACCCTAAATTCCCTATAAGGAGG